ACTCATGCCCGGTTAATTTTTTAAGGCAAAATCAACAGGCCCAGCAATGATTAGCAGGCAGGTAAGTTCGTCTTAATCGTGCTGAGGACAGGGAGGAAGGCTCCTGGGGGCCCGAGGATGGGACTCAGTTATCAGTTAACCACATGCATGTTGTTTCCTTCCCAACGCACTGGCCTTCAGCCCCAAGCTCCCTCATCTTCCTCTCTGGAAGCACTTCCCTGGCAACCCTGTGGCCATCAGTCCCTGGGCGGACAAACACACCACCATCCCAGGTCTACGGGAGGCAGTGCCAGGGCCCTGCAGGGCTGCAGTGGATAAAAGGGGTCCTCGTAGAGCTGGTCTTCGTCTTAAGGCACATCTCCCCCGCTACCACTGTGTGGCCTTGAGCATGTCCTTCCCACCCCAGGTCTGTGGTTCAACCTGCAGCCAGCTGCCACACTCCTGGGGGCTCCGTGTCTCCATCCACCAAGTGTGGGGGTTGGCTGAGACCCCTTCCAGTCTCAAAGTTCTGTGAGGCCTGTACTCCAGGGGGAGGAGGGTGGCAGGAGCAGAGTTTTAGGAGTCAAAGGGGTAGAAAGGATGCCCAGAACAGGGAGGGTGCCTACCTGGTATCTGTTGTCAGTACCTGGGAGAGTCAGATCCCAGCTCCAGAAGGAGGGCTGTCCTCTCAGGTGGGTGCAGGAGTCCTGTGGGCAGGATGGGGCTGCAGGGACGGCCTGAAGGGCCCCCCGGGGCCAGGACCTCTTCTCCTCAGACCTTGGGAGCTGCCAGAGGAAGCAGCCCCGGGCCTGCTGGCTGCCTGAACTGGAGTTTGGTCAGTGGTTGGGGACCTATATTGTGAGAAACTTAGGACTTTGTCCACAAACTGGAATTTGAAATTTCAAAGGGGCGAAGCTGAAGGGCCCTACCCCAGAGTGGAGATGGTTTGGCTTCTTTCCCCCACGACTTTTGTTCTTTGTCTTGATAGTCCCTGACTCCTGCACCCTGTGCTCCCCAGTGGCAGGTGGGGGAGGTGAGCACCCAGGGGAAGTGAAAGCCCCAGGCAGCCCAGGATAGCCACAGTTTGGAGGATGCCCCCGAACCACCAAGTGCCGGGGACAGGCCCCTTTGCTTCTTAGGTTCCTGAGCTCCAGGGTGGTAATAGGGACGGTGGCCCTGCCAGCTCAGTGCTCCAGATTTTTTTTTTTTTTTTTTTTTTTTATGGGAGTCCAGGAGGGAAGCAGCCTGCAGCAGGTGAAGCCCTCAGCTCTGGAGTCAGGCTCCAGTTCAAATCACAGCCCCTCCTCCTTTGATCCCTACAATCTTAGGCAAGTCACTTCACCTCTTGGAGTCTCAGTGTTGTCATCTGGAAAGCCGAGCAGATAAGCAGAGATTTTAGCTCTGGGCCTAGCACAGCTGGGGCTGCAGCCTCCCCCAGCCCACACCTGGCCACCCAGGGCAGTGCTAAAAGAAAGCCACCCCCCTCTCCTCCTGGAGGCCTCGTTTGTCCATCTGCTCCATGAAGGAGCTGGACCCCGAGGGGAGCCCCGAGGTCTTTCATTGGCCCCTGGGGCGCTGGTCTGACAGCCCGAGGGGGCAGGGCACAGATAAGGAAGGGCAGCTGGGGGGCATTTGGGATCTTGCTCCCGTGCAAATGTCATCAGTCTGGCTCAAATACATTCTTATGAACATTAAAAAAAAGGACTGCTGAGTTGATGGCATCAAGGCCACGGTTTGTTCACGGCTGGGCACGCACCCCTGGAACTCTCCCGTGCAGGGGCCGGATTCCCACAGGCCGTGTGGCCAGAGGGTCAAGAGTCAACCACCGATGACGGCAATTGCTGCTGTTGCACGGGACGCCTAAACTTGTCACTGTCATCCAACTGTCACCGAGGAGAAGGTTTCGACCCATTTGTCTGATGCCAAAACTAAGGCTGAGAGAGGGGGAGCAGAGTTTGGGAAGCTGGCAGTGCCTGGGTTTTGACCTGGGTCTTTCTGATTTCCCAGTCTGTGGTTCATCCCCTCAGGGAGTGGGGTTTGAGTGGGTGGTGTGGGGTGGGGCTGAGAACCTTATAATAGCATCTCATTTAATTGTCACACTGCACCGTGCTACGCACATTTTACGGAAGAAGAAAGCCAGCTTTCAAACTGGTAACTTGCCTGAGACGGCAGAGCCCGTCATTCTTACAGGTGGGGGCTGTGTCTGTGAGGAGCGTGAGGATGTTGTTCAGGGCCAGCTAAGGGCGGGGCCAGTCATGCACGTAATAGGTTATGTAGGTCACGTAGTTCACGAGTGTGTAGACTTACTTCAGGGGTAGGTTGCAGTGGATGAGGGACAAATAGGTTTCTGGAATGTGCCTCAGACAGCAGTCAGACGTGTTGTGCATTTGGCAGAGTGTGTATCACGGTTTGTACACCTAGCAGCCTGTCCACCCGTGCGGGCTGTCCGCCAGTAGTTCTTGTGTGTGAGGGGTCAGGTATGGCGTGGCTCACCCTAGCTGATCAGAGACCTCATTGATCTAAGATACCATCTATAGAGGTGGAGAGATTGTTATTTTTGTGACCAATTAAACTCGGGCATGCCAGCAATCACAGTGCACGTCGGCAAGTGTGGGGCTTGGCTCTCAGAGTCGGTGAGATGCCTCACGTGGAGACCGTGCATCGCTGGGCTGTGACGGGGGCAGCTGCATGTGGCCTGTCATGGGTGCCAGAGAGGTGGCCAGACCTCGAGTCAGTCCTTGGAGGCACTCCCCATTCCCCTGGAGCCGCCCCACCTTCCTCTTCGCACTCACCCCTCGGCCAGGGCTCCAGCCCAGACTGCCCCTGAGGCCACTGGAGTCAGGATCAGACACCCCCGACCCTCTCCCTCCCTGGGGCTCTCGTCCTGACCTGCGAACAAATGGGCCAGGATCCACTCCCCATTTCACTGGTTGGGAAATTGAGACCCTGAGAGGGATGTGATGTAAACAAAGTCATCCGAACCATGGCAGAGTGAACTCCAACCCCGGGGCTCCTAATGACAAATGTCGCCTCTTTCTCCTCCTGAACAATTGCTCCCCTTCACTCCCCACCCCAGTTATCTCAGCTCTGGGCGGGAAGATGGAACCCGGTGAACAAAGCTACAGGGGCAAAGAAGAAGCTTCTAGTAATTGAAAGAACACGATGAGGGCGGCTCCACACACCCTCACCCACGCGCCGCCTCTCCCACCGGCTTGCCTGCTCGCTATTCACCCCCGTCTATGCGTTCACTCATTAATCCCCTGTCACTGACCGGCCCACCCGTCAGTCCGCTCCTCTCCACATTCATTTGCCTCATCTCCAGTTCACTCGCCCTGCAGTTCACCTGCTCATTATTCACCCGCCCACCCCTCCTGAGTTCACTCCTTCACTGATTCACCGCCTCACACGTTAATTCGCCCTGTCTCTGATCCATTCATTCTTTAATTCACCCACTCATTCATTCCCTCAGTCACTAATTCACCTCCTCTCCCTAACTGGCTCTCTCACGCATTTACCCACTCTTTTTTTAAAATCCTCACCAGAGGATATGTTTATTAATCTTAGAGAGCAGAAGGGTGTGTGAGAGAGGGAGGGAGAGAAACAGAGAGAGACAGGCATCAGTTTCTCCCATGTGCATCTGGGCCTGGGATCGACCCCTCACCCTCTGGTGTTCAAGACAGCGATGCAGCCGAGCCCCCCGGCCAGGTGCAGTTCCCCTACTCTTGCTCACGGTGTTACCAAAGCCCGCCACCTTGGTCCTCTCAGCTGGCAGAGGAGAACAGGCTCCCCAGCCACCAAGCCTCAGTCCTTCTCCCTCTGCCCAGTGGGCTCCACCTTCCACCTTGCGACCTGGCCTCCTCAGCTAGGCTGGGTGCTCTTGGAAGGGTTGGTAAAGAGGGCGGTGAGGACTGGAGGCAGGAAGGGAAATGGGTGGGCCATGAGCTCAAGGCTGGCAGGACCAGCAAAGTGAAAACGCAGGACCTCACATTCAGAAATTATTAGGAATTTCGGCAACAGCAGAGTATGGAACCAGACCAGGACCCAGGTGTGGGCTCTGCGCTGCTGCCTGGTGGCACTCCTGTGCCACCGCTCCGAAGGGATGGGCGGGTGGAGAGGACCAAGGGAGACAGGACAGGGCGAGAGGGAAGGACGCTTGCTGGGCGACAGTTGGTGCTTCACTGATGCCACCTCACTGGGCACTGAAACCACCCTGAGGCTGATTGAGCTTCGGTTCCCTCCTCTGTAAAGTGCACACAGAGGAGAATCATTTACCCAAAGTCACAATTAGTAGGTGGCAGGCGCCTAAGTGCAAATCCAGGTCGGTGGGGCTGCGGGTCCTTGTCTCTGCCTGTCTGGGGGGCAGGAGGGAACAGGAGGATGTGACAGGAAATGAGAGATGGCGTCTGTCTGATCCGGAGCAGCTGTGGGGACTTGTGGTGGCCATGGCGGGGTCACGGGGAGCAGGGCAGTGGAACCGAAGGCGAGTCTGGCCCTACCAAACATCTGATTCATTCTGCTCCCAAAGCCGGTGGGAAGCTGGGAGGGAGCTCCAGGGACAAGGATCCAGAAGATTGGCATCCGGAGCTTGGGATTTAGGTTTGTGATTCACGAACCAGGAGGCGGCCTTATCTCCGTAAGAGCATTGAGGGTAGCAGTCGGTGATTCAGGAAGGCATTGAGTCTGGGCGCCCCAGTGGTGGCCGTCAGTGGCCCAGCATATCAGTTAGACTGCCTGACTTGGAGTGACAGTGACTTGGAGGGTGGCTGAGTCAGGGGTCAAATGAGTGCTCGTGAGCCGCCTCTCCATCTTGCCGAATCAATAAGTGAATATTGGTGAGTTAAGGCCCCACCGGTTGTAACGGCACCCCGGGTGTCTGCCAGAAACCAACAAACAGCCAAATCCCCGCGGCCCCGCCCAGACTGTCCACCAGTGGGGGAGCCGATTAACCATTAACCCCCACCCCTCCCTGGCAGAGCCTCCACCCCCTCCCAGACGCTAGGCCAAGACTCCTGGGAGATCCTCCCAGAGGACAGTCGGAAAGGCAGGCAGGCAGAGAGTGCCCCTGGGAGGAGACGGTGGGGAGGGTGAAGGGCGGGGGCAGCTCAGCCAGGAGCCTCCAAGGTGGGCATCCTGGGCAGGGCAAGGGACTCAGGCGTGGAGGGGGAGGATGCGCCTCTCCAAGACCCTTGTCGACATGGATATGGCCGACTACAGCGCCGCGCTGGACCCCGCCTACACCACCCTGGAGTTCGAGAACGTGCAGGTGTTGACGATGGGCAATGGTAGGTGGGGGCAGGTGTGCCCAGGTCGCGGAGCGGGTCTGCGGCCCTCGGTGCTGGGTTGGGAGGAGGAGGAGAGACAGAGGCCAGGCTGGTTCGATAGGTAGCACAGGTGTTGCCAGGTGAAGGGAATATGCCCAGGTACGGTGACCAGAGGCGTTCGGGGCAGGGGAGGCCTGCATGGGCACATCTCCAGCAAAAGGAGGCCCCAGGAGCCCCTGCCAGGACCTTCCGGTCCCTGGTACCCCAAAGTCATGCCTGCTCAGCATGCCACTGGGAGCAAGGCCATGGCAGTGAGCTCCCTCTTGACATCCAGCTCTAGGACTTGGGCCCAACACGGCCCCTTCTTGAATCCCTTGGGCCTGGGTCCAGGGCGATGGACAGGTACGTGCAGTCCCGGGAGATGGCGGATGGAGGCACAACTGGGCTTTAGGTTGTCTGGGACTTTCCTGGGGCAAATGCCGCACTTGGACAAAACGCTGGTCTCAGGGAAGTTTTGCTAGATGTGTGCCCGCGCATGCGTGTTGTGTGATTGTGGCCGCCTCCTGGTGCGGTGAGCACGCCTGGGTTTCCAGGTGCATGGGTGGTATCCTGGGTTGGCAGCCACGTGCCTGTGGGGACCATTTGCATATTTGTGTTCGTTTGTCTGTGCGCACCTGTTCTGCGTCCATTTTCACTTGTGTGTGTTCATTGAGTGGGTCTGTGTGCGTTGGTGTCCCCAGAGGTGTCTGTGTTTCTCTTGCTTAGGTGTGTAGGCGGCAGTGAGCATGTATACTTGGTCTGTGGATGTTTGCACACACGTGCTATGGGTGCGGGTTTGCTGCTGTGCCTTGCGTTTCCCTGCGGGGGCATTCGAGCCGCGCCCTGCGTGTGCCTGCTGGTGTGTGTGTGCACGCCCCTGTCCGGGCGGCCTTCTCTGGCCAGCACGATGTGCAGACGTGATGTGCAGGGTTTGGACGTCGCCATCCACCATATGAGATTCTCATCAGGAGCACATCTGTTTGTCTTTGAGCAGATTCGTTGCTTGTATGTGTCTCCCAGGTTTACACATCTGTTCCCACATCACCGAGAGCCCCAAAGGCGGGGAGATGGTTCTCCTCCCAAGGAAGTGGGGGAAGGAAAGAGGCTTGGAGGCCAGGAAGTTTCTGGAGAGGAAGGTCCCTAACTGGTGGCAGGCCAGCCCTGGGGGAGGAGGGGTGGCAGCTGTGTGAGGTCAGCCTGCCTCTGGCTTCAGCCAAGGCCTCTAAGGCGTGTGGTCCTTGTGGCTCAGCCACAAAGAGGGACCACCCTGCCTGCAGCCAGTGGGCACTGTCCGTGGTCGAGCTCCCCGGCTGCTCACCTGCCCCTGCCACCAACTCTCTGTGTGACCTTGGGTATGTCCCCTCCCCTGTCCTGGCCTCTTCTTCAGAATGGGTTTAATCACCCCATACCTGCTCGCCGGCTGGCTTTTAGGAGTATGTGGGGGTCACGTGAAGAAACTGAGGGAAAAACATGCAGGAAACGGTAAACAAGGAGCTGCTGCACTAGGCAGGGTGCCGTGTGACCCCACGGGGACAGGGTGTGCTGTCACACGCCTGGCCACCACCCAGCCCCAGGCTGCTGCTCCCTGGGGCTGGCGCCATCTACCACCAACCCCACCCCCACCCCGCACCAGAGCTCGTGCCTCCCGCTCCCGGGCGTCCCCGCTCCCGGGCGTCCGCGCTCCCAACAACACGGAGGCCAAACCCCCAGGTTGGGTGTCCTGAAGGCAGGCAGCCTCCTGCTCCGGAGCCAGAAAGACCGGGGCTCCAATTCTGGCATAAATCCTGTCCTGTTGGAGCCTCAGTTTCCTCATCTGTAAAATGTGAATAATAATAGCACCTGCCCTCCCCCGCCCCCTAGAAGATGAAATAAGGTGCCTGAGAGCATAGCACTGGTAACTGGTCCTGGCTGCACATGTGTCGTCTCGGGAACTCTGAACACCCGTAGAGGGCTTTACACGTTCTTTGCTGGAGTCTGAGGTGGTCAGAGTTTTGAGGTTATATTTGGCATAGGTGCTGGGCTGCTAGCTCAAAGGCCCAAGGATAGCTCCCCACCTGTCCCCCACCTCCAATTCAGAGTCAGCAGCAACAGGGGGTCGTTGCTTCACAGGCCCAGTAGACACCCCAACAATGGTGGTCACGGCCAGAGTCATCCGGGCCGCCCGGGGCGTACGTCTGGCTCCTGTGAGCAGCAGTGTGAGGAGCCTGGGCAAGCGCCTGCCCTCCCAGAGCCTTGTGTTCTCACCTGGAGAAGGGGACCCATCAGCTGATCCCCGGGGTGAAGTATACACTTGGCAGCACCCAGCCCATGCTGCCCAGCATGTGGGCACCCCTTCCCCCAGCCTCAACCTGAATGGCCACAAATTGTGGGGTCAGCTCTTCCCGGGGGTCTGGGGAGGCCAGGCTGAGGGAGAAAGGGCACAAGCGTGGCTTAACAATTATCCCCATCTCCGGGAATAATTCACCAAGTGGAGGGGGCCGCACTCCCGCGCACCTTCGGGAGTCGAGGAGAAGTTCAGCCAGGTGACAGCGGAATGAAATGCAGGCTGTCTGTGCTGCGTGGAGGCCGGAACTCTCCTGCTCTTAGAGGTTTCCTCTGCAGAACAGTTTTTAACTTCACAGATGCTGGTGGCAGTGCTTATGGTGGGACCAACACTTCACTGAGTCACCGTAGCAGCCCTAGGGTGCTTTTCTCCTCGTAGCTAATTAATTCAGCCAAGGTCACGTGGGCTAGAAAGCGGGCAAGCTGAGACTCAGACTTGGCAGAAGGGCTCCAGAGTTTGTGCTCCTAACATGGCACAATACCCTTCTCCAGTTCTTAGCTGGATGTTCCCTAGGAATTCAAGGCCAGATACAGGGTTCCTGTGAAAACACACGTGGTATGACTTTGTGTGGTGTGCACGTGCATGCATTTTGGAGGGAGATGGGACATAGTATTTACCATCTTCTCCAGAGGTCTATTCCTGGTGGAAGATTTGTTTATAAGAAGAGAGTTTGGCTACTGAAATTTTAAAAAAAAATTAAAGACCGTTGGACAAGTAGAACTACCTTCTTTACATTAAGAGGAACCTAGGCCCCAGGGAAATTAAAGCAAGGGGAAAAAACTTGCCCAAGGTCACAGGCCAGTTAGCCGTAGCATCGGCACTAGCACCCAGAGCCCACAGCACCCAATCCAAGGTCTTTGCCACCTGCCTCTGATAGCCCTCACATTTACATACGTGCTGCAGCCACTGCCCTCGGGGCCTCCTCATTTCCCAGGAGAGTTGGCAAGGCCCCTGGGCACCAAGCTGAGACCACCAGCCCTAGTTACTCAGGAGAAGGGAGGGGCAGGACCTGTCTCTGGGCAGATGCTGGGGGAGTATTTGTCCCTCCCACAGCCCCTCTGCCCAGTCCATCAGGGCCCATAAGGGCTGGATGCATCCTGGGGGTAGCCAGTCTTTCATTACTTCCCAGAGAAAGCGGGGCTAGCTGTCTCTACCATGCCTCACAAACAACTCTGTGAGGTCACTGTCATAAACAGCCCTAAGTTAGCTATGCCAGACAGGTTCCAAAAGGCCAAGGGGCCTGCCCAAGGTCACCGAGAGAGTGGGGACAGTGTGTCCTTCTCACTGAGGCTGAAGCCCTGGGGAGAGCCTTGCAGCACTCACATTGGTTTGTAAGTCTAAGCCACTGGAAGAACAGGGCCTCTGGGAGGTGACTTTGTGCCCTGCCACCCCCACCCCGAGCCCTCACTCTTCTTTCTTCTTGGGCAGACACATCTCCCTCAGAAGGTGCCAACCTCAATGCGGCCAACAGCCTGGGTGTCAGCGCCTTGTGTGCCATCTGCGGGGACCGGGCCACAGGCAAGCACTACGGCGCCTCGAGCTGCGATGGCTGCAAGGGCTTCTTCCGAAGGAGCGTGAGAAAGAACCACATGTACTCCTGCAGGTGCGGAGCCCCCTCTCAGGGGCCTGGTTTCTCCAGCAGGGAAGTGAGCACCCCTTGGGCAGGTGTTCCCCAGGGTCTGTCTTCCCCCCGATCAGGTCCCAGGGGTGTCTGTCCTCCGAGGTCTGTTCCTCTGGCTTCTTAGGCCTTGTGGATCCAGGTGGGAACTCACTCACTAATGAACACGTAACACGCAGGTGCCACACTAAGTCCTACGTGCTCACTCGTTGTTTTGCCCATTTAGCCAGTAAGGATCCACGAGGCTTAGGATCAAGCTGCCTCTAAGCCTCTGAAGATGGGCCCATCCCCCACACTGGTGCTTTTCCTGGGGCGAATAGGAGACTGGCCCCAGGCCTTTCCATCTACCCCAAGGGATTCCTAAAGCCTTAGAGAGCCCTCCTTTAAAAGATCTGCCATGCTGGGCGACAACAATAATAAAGTACTAGCCACTGGTTATGAGCATGGTTATTCTATAAGCTCCATCCACATATTATCTTGCCCTGTCAACGCCCCTCTGAGGTGGTTACTGTTACTATTTCCATTTTACAGAGGAGGAAGCTGAGGCTTGGAGAGGGTTTGGCATTTGCCTATGGTCGCCCAGCTTGAATCAATGGCAGAGTCCAGGCTGATGCTCAGGGCTCTACCCATTAACACTGTGGGGCCCTGTCTTTGCTTATGTCCCCCTCCAGAGAGTGGCTTGTGTGGACCAAGTAGTAACCCCGAGCTGTAACCAGGATGCTGCTCTGGCTCTGGGCTTTTAGAGGATGGAGTGGAAACAGCGGTGCTTTGATGCTCAAGGGGCAGGGGCTAGGGTTCCGGCTTGGCCCTACCACCAGGCTGAGCAATCCAGGTCTCCGTGTTGCAGCTCCGAGCCTCAGTTTTTCCACATTAAATAGGACAGGGCTGGATGCCACAGAGCCTTTCTCATGGTTAACAGGAGAACTCTGGGGGGAAGGACTGGAGCAAAGAGGCTGGGGATCCCCCACATGGCCAGAGGTCTCCTTCTAGCCTGGGACTGGGAGGGCTGTCCCTTCTGCATCCAACCATCCAAAGCCCTCCCCAGATTCAGTCGGCAGTGCGTGGTGGACAAGGACAAGAGGAACCAGTGCCGCTACTGCAGGCTCAAGAAGTGCTTCCGGGCTGGCATGAAGAAGGAAGGTGAGCCTCGGCCCTCCCCCTGCCGCCGCCCCACCCGAACCCCCCCCCACCACTCCCCACAGTCATTTACAACTGCGGCCACGACTTTATGACTCGGTGACAGGCCCCAGGGTGACTGGCTAATGGCTGAGAGAAGGAAGAGCCTAGAAATCTGACCACAGGGAGGGGCTGGGCTTGGTCTTGAGAACATTCAAAGAGATAAGCTCCCACTCTCAGCTACTTGGGTTCCCAGCGCCACTTCGAGGTGGTTTTATCTGTTTGATAAACACACATACACACACATATGTATATACACACACACACACACATATACCCACATATATATATATAAAATTTCAAACATTAAGAAAGGTGTAAAGAATGGCATTACAAACGTCCGTGTATCACCCTGACTCAAATATGAATGGGAGGGAGGCTCTATTCCTGAGCTTCCTGTCCAAGGGCGAGTCCCAGCTCCTCAGTCATCATTCTTGAGTGTCAGGTGAGTCAGGCTTTCATGTTCTAGGGAACGGGAACAAGGTGCCCAGCTTGTCCTGGGGGTGGAGAGGGGGAGACTGGAGCACGTTGCGTGCGGTCTGTCCCGGCCTCCTGATACTGGCAGACACCAACCCCTGGGCTGGGCTTTCCCACGATGGACAGTGCCCTCCATCCTTCCACAGCCCTACGTGGCTGGTGCCATCGTTGTTCCCTCTTTTCACGGATGAGGGAGCGGAGGCCCAGACCGGCTCGGCAACTTGCCAGATGCCCCACAGCTGGCCGATGCAAGGTCTGGGGTTTGGCCCCAGAGCTACAGACTCGAATTTGGTGATGTTTGGACGATACCTCCATGCTGCCTACTTTCTGCCCTCCAGACCTCAGAAACATTTAGGAATTTTGTAGCACAAGCTCAGGAAGCAACCATATTTTAGCTGCTTCTCATTTTCAAATCTCTTTCTCTCCCTTCGCCTCACATTTCTCAGCTCTGAGACTGGCCGTGGGCCTTCACGTCTGGCGCCCCAGCCAAACCCTTGGTCTAGCCCTGCATACCCGCTGCTCAGCAGGAGCCCGGGGCCCTGCCTGTCTGGGCCTGATGGGGACTCAGCAGGGACGCAGCCTCTCCTCCCCTGTGTCTGCCTCCGAGACCCTGTTTTCTCTGCTTTCGCCCTAGAAAACGTCTTCTGTGTCTCCTCCTAACAGGGCCTCGGTTTGAGCTCACGAGTCCTGCTGGCAGACCGGGGCCCGCTGACCCTGACGAGGAGCAGCCCCTTCTGCTGTCAGCACAGTTCTAGCACCCAGACCTCAGCGGTTCCCCAAGCGGGGCAGGGGCTCTTCCAAAGGGCACATGCCCCCACCTCTGTCCGCCCTGCCCAGTGTCCACGGGGGGTGAGCCTCTGCCACCCACCGTCACCTCCAAGTTGGGGATCACTCCATGGAATGAGAAATGTTACAAATGGGAATGTGATACACAGGGGTGGGCAATAGTAGGCTAATAACAATGACGAATGCTGCAACAGTAAATAACAGTTCAAGAGTAGACCCTGTTTCGAACACTCACGACTGTAAACCTACTTTTGCCCACCCCTCTGTGCTTGTACAGCTGGTGGCAAGAGGGAGACTGAGAACTATAGTCTAAGTGCCTACCAGTCTGTGGTTCTAATAGTCAGTGATTCTATCCCCCCCCCCCCCCCCCCCGCCGCAGTCTAAGATTTTAAGTTCAGGAGAATGACTCTCTCATATGAAAATTTGGTGCCTGTGCCAGGCAGGCGGCAGAAGGGTTGACAGCCTTCCTAGACTGTATGTGGCCCACCCAGCTGTGGTCACCCTTTATGTACGTCTCTTGTGAAGCTTTCAGTTATTTTCATGTGTGTCCCTTCTGGGACGTCTCTGCCCCTTCTGAACTTTATAAAAGGAGAGGGTTGGTAATGATCCCTCCCACTTTGCAAACGTCACCACAGACATGGGAGCCCGTGTGTTTGTTTTCTGGTCTTCCCCCAAAACTTCCAAGGAGACCCGGGCCCATATCCTGGTACCTGGAAGGGGAGAGAGAACCACGCCACCCTGCTGTAGCTTAGCCTTAAAAATAGCCATTGCTTCTTGGCTCAAGGAAGGTGGCATTCTGCCAGGGGGACAGGAGAACTGGCTGGTGGCAAGTCAGCATGGGCGAGCGAATGCTGGTGGTTAGTTACACGCCTGGGCTGAGGTTGTGTTGTGTGCACGTGTGGCCTGGCTGCTTTGAGAGGAGGCCGGGGCAGCAGCCACGGTGGTCGGACTCTGGGAAGCTGAGGCTATTACTGGTCCCACCCAGGTGTCCCAGTCCCAACACCCTCCTCAGCCTGGTTGAAGTTCCCAGAACCAAGAGAGAGTTCGGAAGCCGCGGGGATCAGCAGAGTTGAGACGAGTTTTCATTTTTCCTCTTGATGGTCTTAGCAGGGTTTGGGTATTGAAACCCCAAAGTAGTCCTCGAGGGGCCAGCTGTATGGTGATGGGTGGTCGCTAGACTTTCGAGGATGATCACTTTGCAGAAAATACAGATATCAAATTATAATGTGGCATACGGCACACATATTTATCTTAAAAAGTAGTCCCCAGGGACAGGAAGGCATGTGCTGAAAACAAAATCTGTGGACCAGACAGGTGTATATGAGGCCATCAAATCCTTCTCCTCCCCACTTTACAGATGGGGAAACTGAGGCCTGGGAGGTGACATGATTGGCTCCAGGGTTGGGTCAGAACTAGAACTCAGGCTCCCAGCACTGGGCAGACACCAAGCTTCCAGGTCTGAAGCTGGGGGTGGGGGGTGAGGGGGGTCAAGCATGGGAATCATCTCGGGTCCAGATTCCTGGAAGTTCCTCTCGACCCCAGAGAAGGGCTCTAAACCTCCTGGGCCTGTGGGTCCTGGCCAGAGGCTCTTCCGTGGTAGCTGGAAGTGGGTTCCCTGGAGTGACGAAGACTCTAGAGAGAAACCTGGGGGCCCGTGCGCACAACCACAGGTGGAGAATTCTTTCCTATAACCCAGCGCCTTCTTGAGCCTCAGCTGCTGGGCCTGGGACAACTGTCAGACTCCTGGCATCGGAAACCCAGACCAGGAAGCAGGGCCGGGGTGCAGGAGGTTGCTGGTGGGGCCTTTCTTGGGACCCCAGCTCAGCGCCCCCATAGCCCCCCAGCCAGGGGTTCTCTGAGAAGAGAAGCTCATCCTCCTCTCCACCTCTGCCCAGGTTGGTTAATATTCAATAGAAGTTACATTAGGTCCCCGACCCTGCTAATACTGAGCAAACATTTGGAAAACATCATTCCGTGACTGAGCTCGCGCCGGGCACTGATAAGGCCGGCCTAACCTTGAGGAGCCCAGTCCGCAGCTGCTGACAGCAGCCCTTTTATTCCGCCTGCCTCCGCAGCCCCGTGGGTGCGGAGCGGTGTGGGCGGGGCGGGCGGGGCAGGACCAGTGCTGGGGAGTGGTTCTGGGAGCGGGCCCCTGGCAGGGTGGTGGGTCTCCCAAGAGATTCCTTATCTTGGGACTTCTGTTTTATTTCACTGACTCCCGACTCCTGTGAGACTGTCTGACTTTCATTCTCTGATTTCAACAACGTGTGAGATTTGGAGACAGTTAAATGGCCGGGATGTCGATGTTGCCCTGAGAAACAGGGCACAGGGCACTCGGCACCTTCTGTCGTTCACTCGACAAATGCTGATTGGGCGCCTACTGTGCGCCAGGCTCTGTTCTAGTCGCTGGGGCCACAGCAGTGAGCAAGAGGAAGGAAGTTCTGTCTGTAGCTTTCTCAGAGAGAGCAAAGAAATGAACATAGACTTCTGCAGTGAGTGCCAAGAGGAAGAATAAAGCAGGGTGAAGGGCAGAGCATGAGGAGGGAGTGCCACGTCAGACAGGTGATCAGAGGGGATCTCTGAGAAGGTGACACTTGCACAGAGGCAGGAGTGACATGAAGGTGAAGCTAAGCCGTATGGGAGAGGATTTTAGGGAGTGGGAACGGTGGTGTTGAGGGCCCTGGTGGAGAGTGGCAAGGTGTGCAGTGGGGGCAGGTTTGGGGGCAGAGTGAGCAAAGGAGACCAGAGAGAAAGGGCCACAGGGTGAGCTGTGGCTTTTCTCCGGGTGAGGTGGGGAGGCACTGGCTTTGAGCAGTGGAGGGACACGAGCGGAGTTCAGAGTTAGCTCACTGAGAGGCACACAGGCCGGAGGGGCAAGGCCAGAGCAAAGGGACCGGTGGGGAGAAGGCAGGGCCCAGACAGAGCGGGGGCTGGGATGGAGTCCATAAGGCTGACTGACGCCGTGCGGGGCATGAGTAGAGATGGTCCATGAGAGAAAGAGACTCTCAGGCTGGAAGTGGGAGAAGAAACCTGCCTGTTCCTGAGAAGGGAAGCACAGCAGAGGGGCAGATTTGGGAGGCAAGAGCTGATAGATGGGGCACTTCAGACTCAGAGAGAGGAGGTGATTCCCACCCGCACTCACGGAATGAGTGGCAATATGGAACGGGGCCTGGGTCTCTGCCCATGTCGCCCTCCCTCCTCCCAGCTTCCACCGAGCCTCATTGCACAGGGAGGCCTCTTTGAGTCCGAGGGGCCAGGCCAAGGCAGCAGAAGGTCCTTCTCACATCTTCGGCCAGGACTGGCCCAGATGGGGACGTGCAGTGGGGTATGGGGCCCTCGTGGACAGAGGTCCCAGATCTCTGAGTTCCTGGGAGAGAGCCCAGCAGTGGGGCAAGGAGGACAGTGTTCTTTGCTTTCTCCGAGAAGGTTAGTCCAGAGCACATGCAGCTCCTGCTGATGGGTGAGGCTGCCGGGCCAGGTGTGGCCTCAAGCTCCCTTGTCTAGACCTTCTGCCTTGAGGTTCAGGAATCCCTGGGTTATCCTGTGTCACTCAAAAGGGTTCATTTTGCATGTTTTGCATGCTTTCCCCTGGAAAGAAAGGGACCCTTTCCCAAAACAGAGCTTAAAAACCTACTCTCTAGACATATGCCTTCTTCAATGCTCAAGACCCATCTTAAGCCCTCTGCCAAGTCATTATTGACTTGCATGCCTCCAGTGATGGGTGGATCACTCCTGAAGGCACTGCATTGTGTTGGGGCAGTTCTGGCACTTGGAAAGTTCTTCCACAAGCTGGGTTAGATCCATATCCTGCCCTTCCCACACACCGGTCCGGGCTCCGCCCCCTGGACACCCCTTCCTATTCCCACCTCCAGCTGTGTCTCCTTCGCTGGAGGGCAGCCCTGCAGAAACCTCTTTCTGGGTTGAACTCTCTCCCCTTGCACCTCACCCACTCCCCATCAGCCCTGCGAAAACCCTCCCCTCTGCCACACCCCTGCCCTCCCTCCTCACCTCCCTCTGCCGTCCTCACAGCTGTGCAGAACGAGCGGGACCGGATCAGCACTCGCAGGTCAAGCTATGAGGACAGCAGTCTGCCCTCCATCAATGCGCTTCTGCAGGCCGAGGTCCTGTCCCAGCAGGTACCGGGGTGACTCCTCCACCCACCTGGGACCCCCACACACTGAAGAGGGGTCACCTCCACCCCGTCCTCTCCGGCCAAACCCTGGAGCAGCAGCTAGAAGGACCCTCAGCTCTCACAGAAGGGAAACAGAGTCCAGTGTCACACTGCCGGTGTAGTAGCCAAGACGAATCTTGAACCTGGCCTGGTGTCCTGGGGCACTTTGCCGTTCATGCCGCTGCCTGCATTGCTCAGGCCAAGCAGAGCCGGTGCTGTCACTGAGCGCCTGAGGCCAGCTTTGCCCCAAGAGAACAGAGAAGTGAACAAGTGGACAGAGCAGCAAGCTGGGACTCAGCTAGCCTCTTGCTGTGTGACCTTGGGCAAGTCACAGCACCTCTCGTGGGCTGTGGTTTCTCCATCTATGAGATGAGGATGTTATCTTTGCCCTGCTTCTCCCCTAGGGCTGAGGGGTCCCTTGGGATTCTAAGGAGCTGGTGGGAGAAAAGTCGGGATGGCAGCAGGTGAAGGCCCAGAGAGGGCCCTCCTCCCTCCTGTCTGCCTTCTGCAGCCTTCTTCCTCCTGCGCTTCCTCCAGAGCTGAGAAGGCATGCACAGCCCATCTCCCCCTTTCCAGGCAGAGAGACCGTCTGAGGAGGGGCCTCCGTGCAGGGTTCAGAGAGCGTGGGGCAGGCCCAGCCTTCCCCAGCATTTTCCTTCCTCTCCCCCCAGATCACCTCCCCTGTCTCCGGGATCAATGGCGACATCCGGGCAAAGAAGATCGCCAGCATCGCAGACGTGTGCGAGTCCATGAAGGAGCAGCTGCTGGTGCTCGTGGAGTGGGCCAAGTACATCCCAGCATTCTGCGAACTCCCCCTGGACGACCAGGTACGGGCTGACGTGGATCGTGGGCGGAGGGGCCCACCTGGGATAGAACCTTGGGCTGGTTTGATGTTGTTTTAACAAAATGAACATAGTGTTCATATATCCTGGAATTTTTTAAATCGCTTTGCAAATATTAACTCATTTAATCCTTCCAACAACACTATGAGGTAGTGCTGTTATTAGTTCCATCTTATAGGTGAGGAAACTGGGGTACAGAGAGGTTGAGTAACTTGCTCAAGGTCACACAGCTAGTGTCCAGCAAAGCTGAGATTAGAACCAGGTGAGCAAGCTCCAAAGTCCAGGGGCCTGAGGTCAGGAATCAGGACATTTGGGACTGAGCCCTGGTTTTAAGACTGGTTCTCTGTGTGATCTCGGACAGATTACTTCCTATCTCTGAGTCTCAGTTTTCTCATCTGTCAAGTGGAAATTATAATACCTGCCTCAGAGAGTTGCTGGGAGCATTGAGGTCATTACCATCTGAAAAGTGCAAACCACGTGATGAGGACCACGCAGTGCCCAGGCCCCAGCTGGCCTCCCTAAATGTCAATTTCTCCCTTGTGCTCCACCAAGAGGGTTGAACTCAGTGTTTTATTTTCCGGAGTACATTCTTTGGCACGCTAAAAATGTCCCAGGGGAACACGGGGACTGCGGGGGTAGGGGAGCATGTGAGGACACATGGGCTCCTGAGATACTGCAAATGCTGGCTCCGGCTTAGCATCCCATTAGGCCACTGAGGATGTTTGTGGGTCTGGTGGGGAAGGGAAAGCTGGGTGGGGGCGCCTGCTCAGCTCTGAGGGAAGCTCGGAGTCACCCAGGGCCAGGATACCAACTCCTGGTGCATTTGATTCTCTGTTTTGCATGAAAGACTGGCAATGCATGTCGGTCTGTTAAGATCCCCTGAGAAGTCCCACAGGTAAGGCGGCTGTTGAACTGTGTGGACGGACCCAGGGCTTCTGAATCCTCTGACACCCCGACCCTCCTGGAACACTTAGCATCCCGCGGCAGGGCATGCCGTACAAACACCGATCTGGCTGGTCCTCGGCCTCGCTCGGGGGTCTGGGTCGGATGTCCTCTCACGTGGATTCCTCCTGCACTGGGAGGGATGGCAGGGCAGGGATCTTGGCAGAGCTGCCCCTGCTTTCTCCCCTGCTCCTCATGTTCTGGCCCCGGTCCCCTCTGCTGGAGAGTCTACATTAATGTTTAATCCCTCCTGTTCCTTCCCAGGGGCTCAGCAGGGCAACAAGACACCCCCAAGCTGAACAATTGTTAACCTCGATTTCCCACCCAAACCTCCCTGGCTGGGGCTCAGAGCATTCTCAGAGAGCAGTGATGGGTGGCCAGTAGCACAGGACAATCATTAACACCCCACCCCCTGCCCGCTCACCCCCAGAACAGCCACCATGTCAGGGGACAGGACCGGGGACCATGAGGGTTCCCAGCTCCCCATTCATGGTAGGTCTGTAAGGAACCCATCTTGCTTAAGATGGGGGTAGGGGGAGGAGGAGGCACACCTGGGAGAATCGGGGGTTGTCTTCCAAAGGACACCCCAAATCTATAGACATTGCCCCAGGAACCACCTTCCAAGTGTGTTTACTTCTCGTTTTGTTTGGGGCATCAACCTATGGAAATCTAGAAGGCTGGGTAGCATCGGACGAGGGGACTGAGGCCTGGAAAGGGAGAGCGATTTGCCCAGGATCACAGAGCAAGGCCGCTGCCTAGCTGGGGTTTGATGCCAGGTCCTCGGCCCCTCAGCGTGAGAGCCGCCGGTTCTGTGACCAAACTGCGCCATCCCGGGTGGGGAGCACGGCAGTGCTCAGTAGTGAGCGTCCTCGTCCTGGATGTGGAACACACACTCACACCTCCCGTGGGCCATTTCTCCTCTCTGCCGGTCGCCCCCACAAGGTTCAACCACAGGGAAATGGACTAGGGAAGGACAGGGGCCGCCCGGCGGGGGCTAGATCTGGAGAGGAAGTTAGCCCGGCTGCTCGTTTGTTCATTCGGCCATTTCTTCCCTCCTTCCTTCATACAAATATTTACTGAATGTTTACTGTGTGCCTTAGGACAATCTCACCTCCTTAGATAGGCCTTCTGACCTCGCTGTGTACGCGGTCACTCCTGTCCCATTGCTCTTTATCACGTGACCCTCACCTCCCTCCCCCTCCTCCTTCCCTTCCTTCCTCACTCCCCTCTTCTCATCTTCCTCTCTCTCTCACTTTCTCTCTCCCTCCTTTCCTTCCCTTTCCTTCCCTTCCCTTCCCTTCCCTTCCCTTCCCTTCCCCTTCCAACTTCCCCTTCCCCTTCCCTTTCACCATTGTGCCCCCATTGTCTAAAAAGTGTCACTTAGTAGGCACTTAACATTTGATGACCAAAAGAAAGAACAGTCAAATGAATTCATGAACAAAAGCAGTTTTCCCTTGGAACTTAGCCTGATGTAAGACCTCGAAACTCCCTAACCCAACCTTGCAGATAAGACCCTGGATACTACCAGGCTGCTCCTAGTTTGTCTGTCCCCACCCTTTGGATCTCACGCAAGCACTGAAGCAGGTGGCCCTGGAAGGGGGGGCCGTGTCCTGTGAGTTGGCTGGGCTCCTACCACTGACGTTAGTCTTCCGAGGCAGCCTTGTCCTCTCTGTAGGGCAGGGGTCTGTCAGCTCATCCCCTTCCAAGGACCAGTGCTCATCCCTTTGCCTTCGCTGGGAACCAGCATCCACACCCAATGTCTTGTAACTCCCTCCCAGAATCCTAGAACCTTACGATGTCAAGTGAGGGATGCCCTGGAGATCTTCTGGAGCGGTGACGGCCCAAACACCATGGCACATGTCAGAATCAGCTGGGGAGCTTATTTAATACAGATCCTTGGGCCCAACCCCATACAGACAGAATCAGAATCTGATCATAGGGCCTAAGAATCTGCATTCTTATAAACATGGTTCATAATCTTCTGTAGCTTGTCTGTGGGTGGGGATTTGGGGCCCACAGTTTTAAAATTTTCAGGGTAGTAGATCCTCTTCACAGTCTGATGAAAGCCCTCGAACCTCTAATGAAAAGCCCACCCCGAGTGTTGTCACAGTTTCACTGGGCACAAAAACCAGGCCCAAAGGAGAGCAGCAACTTGCCCAAGGACACAGAAGTTCAAGGTCAGAGTCAGCATTTGGTCTCCACCCTCTGAGTGCATGTCCTTTCCCCTTCTGGGTTCCTGCTGAATCTTTCCCAGGTCCCTGGTCTGGTCAGTTATGGGGAGAAGGCAGCAGTTTTCTGAGGCCCATTTGGTAGTTCAGGCAGGTAAAGGCACGTGGAGCAGGCTGCTGACCTGCCCAGCCAGTGAGTGGCGAGGAGCAGCCTTCCCAGGGGTGCAGACACCAGGCAGCATCCCTTCTCCCTTCCAGGTGGCGCTGCTCAGAGCCCACGCCGGCGAGCACCTGCTGCTCGGAGCCACCAAGCGATCCATGGTGTTCAAGGACGTTCTGCTGCTCGGTGAGGGGGCGGCCCATCCGGGCACACTCAGGGTTGTCCCCGGAATTACTCGTGTGTTCCAATGTGCATGCTGGAGCAGGAGCAAGAGGCAGCCAGAAATGGCACAAACCCCAGCCTGTGTCACCTACACCTTCATGGCATGTTTGCCTATTATTTTAACGCTTATTAGAGATCGCAGTATGGGTCAGATCCTAGTCTGAACACTTTACAAATATAAACTCCTTTAATGCAACATTTCTTATGGGGTAAACTCTGTTATTTACCCCCATTTTACAGATGACAAAAAACAAACAAGGCATAGAAGGTAATTTATCCAGATATGTCCAGCTTGTTAGTGGTAGAATTGGGCTTCGACCCAAGCAGTCTGGTTCCAGGATCGTGGCCCTTACCTTTGGTGCTTTGGTGCCTTCCAAGTAGCCTTGAAATGTCATCATTGTGGAGGGGCTTGTTGAAGAATGGAGCCTGGGCGATGTGAAGGGTCCTAGAAAGCCAGGCTCCAGGTCCAGTCCTTACCTTTGAGCAACCCATTCCTCCAATCTGAGTCTCAACTTCCTCATCTGTAAAATGGGTATGACAGTCCCCAGGGGGCACCAGCTGCATGGCAACTGCAAGGGACAGGGCCTGTGCAAAGCTGGGGGTCAGGGGCACACCCAGGCGGCTTCCCATCCCCTCCCCTTTCCGACCACGCAGGGAACGACTACATCATCCCGCGGCACTGCCCGGAGCTGGCGGAGATGAGCCGCGTGTCCATGCGCATCCTCGACGAGCTGGTGCTGCCTTTCCAGGAGCTGCAGATCGACGACAACGAGTACGCCTGCCTGAAAGCCATCATCTTCTTCGACCCAGGTACAGTCCGCACCTCCCACCCCCACCCCAGCGCTCCAGGGTGCCCAGCACCCTGAGTTCCCGACCCCACCTCTTTGGCGCGACAACCCGGAGAAGGCATGTTTATTAGCGCCGCTTCACAGACGAGGGAAATCGGGACAAACTGATGATGTGACCTGACAGGGCTCGCTGACTCTTGTCCTTTCTCCCTCCTTCTCTCCCCCCACCCATCTTCCTGCTTGTCTTTCCTTTGATCTTTTCTCCTTTCCCTTAACACACCTTTATCCAATAATATCTGCAGGTACTTAAACTGCAGATAGCCCTCCGCACCGCTTTCCCTGCTAGAGCCTACTCCCTGGAGAGAACCATTTCTGATCCTTTTAACCGCCCCCTCTGGCCACTCCCTCGAGCTCTAAATAAAAATGCTAAGCCTGCTCTTCCTTGGTTTATCATTTTAGATCACATTCCTCCTGCTAGGCTAGTGGAGGATTTCACTTTCCTCTATCACCATCCCCATCTTTTCTCCCCCATCCTTGTAATATATTTTATGGCTGTTTTAGCGTCTCTGCCGATCACCTTTGTCACATTCGTTGTGCACTTCCGCCTCTGTTTCTTGTTCTGTCAGCTGTGGAGAGGATTTCCTGTTCCTTTACTCGGGAGGGCAGAAGTACAGTAAGTCCCTCTTGTCCTCGGTTTTGCCTTCTGTGCTTTCAGTTGGACCTGCAGTCAACCATGGTCTGAAAACGTTACATAGAATATTCCAGAAATAAGCCATTTGTAAGTTTACCACTGCATGGCGTTCTGAGTAGCATGATGAAATCTTACACCCTCTGGCTCCACCCCGCCTGGGACGTGAATCACCCCTTTCTCCGCGTATTCACTCTGCACACGCCATATGCCTGGTAGCCACGTGGTGGCCGACCGGTCATCAGACAGACTGTGGCAGAGTCGCAGTCCCCGTGTTCAGCCAGTCCTGTTTGACTTAATCCTGGCCCCCAAGTGCCAGGGCAGTGACGCGGGCAGTGCGGGCATTCAGAAGAGAGGGCAGGAAGTGCTTCCTTTAGGTGAAAAGGTGTGGACAGTCCAGTAAGACATTTTGAGAGAGGAAGAGAAAGACCACGCTCACATAACTTTTATCCCAATGTATTGTTAGAATTGTTCGATGTTATTATTAGTTATTGGTGTTAATCTCTTACTGCACCTAATTCATGATTAAACGTCACGGTAGGTTTGTATGGTAGGAAAACATGTGGTGTGTAACACAGTTCATGAAGAGTTCAGTTCTATCTGTGGTTCAGGTGTGCACTGGGGGGGCCGTGGACCGCACCTCCCGCTGTCTGCTGTGGGCATCCCCGCCCTTTCTCTCGGCTTGCTCCGCCCCTCGCTCCATTCCATCCACTGACTTACCATCTGCATTTGTAGTTATGTCTGTGTGTAAAGCCCTATTTTAAAAGAACAATGTCAAGGCTCCTGGGACCCCAAAGGCTTGCTTGCTTCCTTCCCTCCTTACATGTTAGAGAGGGCTTACTAGGTGCCAGGCACCTACGTGAAGATCACCTCTAGTAATAATATTAATGAAGAGGAAGATGACCACCATTTATGGAATGCTTCTTAAGGTACCATTCTAAACACTCTATGTGGATGATCTCACTTATTATTTGCAACATGGTACCTGTGAGGCAGGAATTATTATCCCCATTTTGCAGATTAGAACACTAAGGTACAGGGAGATCGATTAATTTGCCCAAGGTCACACAACCAGGAAATGGCAGAGCTCGGATTTGAACTTCAGACTAACCAGCTCTCGAGCCTATGTTCGTTCCTACCACATGTTATCCCCCATTTCTTAAAGGATAAGATTTCTAGGTCCAGTTTCCTTGAGAGCTGTATCCCCTGCAGTGCTCAGCACTGGGCTAGACCGAGTAATTGCTCAGCAAAATGTGCAGGATTACTGATGCTGAGTCAGGGTCAGCTCCCCGGCTTGGAGGGGCAGGTGACCTAGAACAGGGCCTGGCACGTAGGTGGTGATCAGTAAAAGTTTATTGACTGAATAAAAGAATGCACAGACACAGTTCAGTGGAGAGAGCCCTGCACGGGAAGTGGGGGTGAAGTCCTCTTGTTGCCACTTACTTTAGGAAATAAATGCGTTACGTCTGTGAAGTGTGAGATGACCTAGTAGAGCACTGCTTGAGTTCCCTTGTTGAGACTGGGATCTAGAATTTATCCATTGATTTCTTTTCACTCATTTATCCTTCCACCCATCTACCTATCCTTTCATCTAGTACCTAGTCAACAAATACTGACTACACATGGCGCTAGGTGGTGGGTTTAAAATGCCACGTGAGACATAGGCCTGCCTGCACAGAGCTCACAGCTTAGTGGAAGGGACAGTTACCTCCTGTGCAGCCAACAGCCACAGAAGTTTGGGAACATGATGAACACTCACAACACAGACTCGGGGCGGAGGGAAAGGAGAAGGCTTCCTGGTGGAGGTGAAACCTAGGCTGAGACCCCAAGATGATGCAGGCAAGGGAGCGGGGTGGGGGGGGACACCGTTCTGAGGCAGCAGCAGCAGCCTGAGCTGAGGCGTGGACAGTGGGGCCTCCACTGGGATCTGGAGCCCCAAGTCCACACCCTGGGTCTGTCAGCAACCGGATGTGCGACCTGAGCCAGGTCCTTTCCCTGCTCTGTGCCTCAGTTTTCTCAGTGTAATGAGGAAGTTGCTAAGTGCCCTCCTGGGTATGTCCCTGAAGTCCTGTCCTCCATCCCTGGCTTCCCTCTCCCAGTCCTGCATCTCAGGAAACGTGACGGGAACACGTTTCTGCCCGAGTCCAGGAAGCTACCAGCTGCCCTAGCTAACTCTGGTTCTTGAGGACCCTGAATCCTCATCCCAGCACTGCCGATGACTCTCATGTGACCCTGGGCTACTAGGCCCCCAATCGGGGCCCCATGAGTCAGGGGAGGTCTGGGTCCTGACTTTCCAGATGCTCCAGCTGGGCCCCTGCCATCCCTTGCCACCTTCTCCCGTTGCAGATGCCAAGGGGTTGAGTGACCCGGGTAAGATCAAGCGGCTGCGGTCCCAGGTGCAGGTGAGCCTGGAGGACTACATCAATGACCGCCAGTACGACTCGCGAGGCCGCTTCGGTGAGCTGCTGCTGCTGCTGCCCACCCTGCAGAGCATCACCTGGCAGATGATCGAGCAGATCCAGTTTATCAAGCTCTTCGGCATGGCCAAGATCGACAACCTGCTGCAGGAGATGCTGCTGGGAGGTCCGTGCCAGGCCCAGGAGGGACTGAGAGGTGGGTGGGGGCAGAGGGGCCTCTCCAAGAGACAAGCCTCAGGCAGACCTGGGCTCACCTCCCTTCCTCACTCTGCGGCTTTGGGCAAATCCCTTAGGTTATCTGAGCCTCAGTTCCCTCATCAGGAAAATGGGAACAATGGTCCATTTATTCAGGCACTGGGAGCCTAGCCAGATTCAGTCACTGTTTTAAGTGCTGGAGATTCAGCAGAGAACAAGAACAGGACACCTCCTGGTGATTGTGTGAGTGTGTACATGCCTGTGTGTGTAAGGGCCCATGGGAAGAGGCAGTAATCCAGTATATAGGAAAGAAGGTAACTGCAGATATTTAAATAACCAGGTGAAACAATACAGCAGCACTTAAGAGGGGCCTCTTTTGATAGGTTAGACAAGGGAGATTCCTCTGAAGCAGTGACTTTTGTGCTTAGACCTGATGGATGAAAGGAAATAGAACATCTAAAAGCCAAGAGAAAAGCCCTCTAGGTGGAAGTATCTGCTACCAAAGTCCCGAGGCAGGAGAGGCGAGTATTCGGGGAAAAGAAGGAAGGATGACTGTGTGAGACGGAGTCCTGTGAGATGAGGCTGGAGAGCGGGCAGAATCCAGATGAGAAGCACGTGGTTTTACAAGCCGGGGTCAGAAGCTGGGATTCGATTCTCACACAACTATTATAAGAAGAGTGCAAATCAGACTCCTGTTTTAAACTAAGTACTCTGATGGTTGGGTCGAAACTGGAGTGCGGGGGCGGGGGCCAAGTGGAGGCAGGAGCGCCCCGAGGATGCTGCCTCCAGTCGGGGGAAGGGCGATGGGGCTTGGACTAAAGCAAGATGGGAAGTTTCCCAGCGGAGGAAAAGCTTGGTCATCTGTTTGGAGGAAGGACCCGCAGGACTTGCTGACTGATCAGACGAGGGGAAGTGGGGGAAGAGGAAGAGTCAAGGGTGAGGCCTGTGTTTTTGCTTTGAGTAACAGGAATTCTAGCAGAGCAATTTACCAGGACGGGAAGACTGAGACAAATAGTCGGAGGATGGAGGTGGTAGTGGTGGTGAGGGGTGAACCCACAGATCCATCTGAGACTTTAGTTAAGCTTGAGATGACTTAGATATCCTGGTTAGTGACCGAGGGGGCAGTCGAAGGTCCGCCTGTTGCTCAAACACAAGCCCCAAGCTCAGCATGAAAGGCAGCTCTGTGTTGTTCCAGCAGTTCGGTGCCAGGGAAGGAGACTGGAGGAGGAAGACTAGCCAGGAGGATAGGAGCGAAGCCAGGAAAGTCCCAAGATAAGAGTGTGTTTTAAAGAGGACAGGACGTTCAATGGTGTTAAGTTCCGCAGGAGAGGGATGGAGGTGTTCACTGGATGGGCAACTGGGAGGCTCTCGGTGCTGCTTGTGAAAAGAGTGTCTGTCGGAGGACCGTGGGAAAGGAGGCCAGACTGAGAGGTGCTGCAGCGTGCGCGAGTGGGCAAGTGAAGTGGAGATTACAGGAGTAGACCAACCCTTTGAAAATGTTTTACTCCGAAGGGGAGCTGTGAGGGAGTTGACAATGAATGCAGGGGGATGATTATGATAATGGGCGATGGCATCTTGGCTGGACCAACAGAAGTAAAGATGGGGTGATAGATAGTGAAAAGTGGAGGTTGAGATTGGTGGCCTCAAGAGGGCTGAAGAATTTTTGCAGTGATGGTACTAGATGAAATGAGTTGGAAGGCGAGGAGGCAGCATCCAAGTGAGGAAGTGTGGGCTCATCGTGATGCCCCCAAGCAGGAGAAGTGGCTGTTCACAAAAGATGGGTTACAGGTAAATTACTTACCATGGGCATTTCAAGGAAGGAGAAGTTTACTTCTGGTTAGAATGGGGAGAATCGGGAGAGGCTTCACAGCGGAGGAGACGTCTGAGCTGGAACTGTGGACACGGAGGGGCAGAGGGTGGGGATGAGACTGGTGGGTGAGCTGGGACCAAAGGCTTGAAGGACTTCATACCATGAACTTTGAGAACCATTGATTAAACCCATTATATTAACATCCAATCAGTACTTGATATAATATTTAAATTCTCTCAGTGCTTCCCTACATACTCCTTATTTCTTTTAACTCACTTCTGTTCTCTTGGCTTGCTGGGTCTTCCCAGTATCCTCATAAAGTGTATGGATGGGAACAGTACACCACAGTTCGCTAACCCAGGAATAGGCGCCCAGTAGGCATCTTCAGTAAGGGGTGGGCAGGTCGACTGGCCACACCTGAGGAAGATGGTGGCCCGTGGTCCTTTTCCCAAATTCTCCATCTTCACTGAGTTCCCCCTCCCCTGCAGGATCCTCCAGTGATGCCACTCATGCCCATCACCCCCTGCACCCTCACCTGATGCAGGAGCACATGGGCACCAACGTCATCGTCGCCAACACGATGCCTGCGCACCTCAGCAACGGGCAGATGTGTGAGTGGCCCCGGCCCAGGGGGCAGGCAGGTGGGCAACTCGGGCTCTACTCAAGAAGGGGTGCGGTTGGGGTGTAAGGGGGGAGCCAAGGGAAGGTTGCGCCTAGAAGACAAGAACCAAAATACAGCAGTTCTCTGTCTCCAGGGTTCAGGTGAGGGGCGAGACTGGCTGCTTATTAAGGCTATTACTCAGTGGGGCGATTGTCAGCCTTCACTGAAGCAAGCTGTCCTTGGGATGAGGTAACCCACTGGGGGGGGGGGGATGGCATTAGGGTGCAAATGACATCATTGTCACTAGGTGAGCTTGTTGGCTAAATAAGGCTCCTCGAGTGGGTGAGCCTCCCCGCTAGGCCTTGGGGTGAGACTGTTCACTAGGCTGGGACGTCCACTGGACTAGACTCTCTTCCGAGGTGAACTCCCGCAGCAGTGAGTTTGCCCCTGGCAAAGCTCTTCAAAGAGCAGGATTAGCACTGAGAAGGACCGTCAGCTGAAATAAGATCTCATTTCACTGGGATTGTTCTTCGGGAAAGTGGTCCATGGAATGAAATTAGCCAAGTGGGTCATGGTCACAGGTGCTTTCTGAACCCATTGTGGGTGTGAGGCCAATTTCTGTTACTCATCTACTTAGATATCAGAGAAATTGTATTTTTAAAGCCAGTTAGTGCGACCTTGCATTGTATCAACCATCTTGCTCCTTCTCTCCAAGAGTGGGCATTCCTGTCGCATGTCCCACTGTCCTTGGGGAAAGTCAGACTCGGGCCCTGGTTTGGGAGACGGGGCCCACGCCTCCATATCAGATGGAGGGAGTGGGGGTTGGGCAGGACCCAGAAGGAGGCTCTGCCACCAACCTGGCCCAGCCACTGCCTCCCAGACCTCACGGGGCTTAAGGCTGTGACCGTGACCTGGGACTCGGAGGCCTCGGAGAGCATCTAGCTCTATTCTCACTTTATAGAAGAGGAAGAACTATCTCTTCTTCCTCTTTGCCCAGAGAGGGGGAAGAACTTTCCTCGGGCTCTCCCTTTACTCCCTGAAGGGCGGGAATGCTGAGCAGTCTGTCTCTCTGTCCCTCCAGCCACCCCTGAGACGCCACAGCCCTCACCACCAGGTGGCTCGGGGTCTGAGCCCTACAAGCTCCTGCCGGGAGCGGTCGCCACCATTGTCAAGCCCCCTTCCGCTATCCCCCAGCTGACCATCACCAAGCAAGAAGTCATCTAGCAAGCCGCCGGGGGGCCGGGGGTCGGGGGCTCAGCCGGCCCCCCCAGCCCCCTCCGAGAGCCCCTGGTGGTCCCTCGGTCACAGTGAGGGAAGCTGAGACAACGGGGCCAGCCCAAGAGCAGTCACGAGAAGGGCAGAGGGCCCAAGAACTTGGGCTGTGGACCTCGTCACATTGCCACCCTCCACCCCGGCTCTGGATGAGGGGCTCTGACTGGGGGAGACCCCGGCTGGAAAACCCTCGGCTGCCTCGGACAGCTTTGCGGAAGCCACTGCCTTCCCCCGTCCGCCTCCGCCCCACCCACTGCACCCACAGAGGACTTGGCTCCAGCGCGGCTCCCTCCCCCTCAGGCCGGTCCTCCTCACCCAGCCCAGCTTGCTGTGTAGGGGCCACAGGCAGGGCGCCCCTTCGGTGGGGCCGGTGGGGTCGGCTTTCGACCCCTTACCGACTCCTCCCTGCTCTGCTGCCCCAGCCTCCAGTGCCCCTTCCATGTGCTACTGCCACCTCAGCCTGTCAGGTTCTCCAGGGCCACCTCTCCAGAGGCCGAGGAAGACTTGGAGACAGTTCTCCCAGTCACCCTGGGAGCATTCTCAGAGCCTGGTGGGCTGAGCACAGTGTAACAGATCGTCGAGAAGGAAGACACTTTCTGCCTCTGACCCACCGTTCTTCCCTTCCTCAGGGACTTGGGTCCGACCCTTGGGGGGACCCCTTGGTTGGGAGTGATCATCCCTACAGGCTTTCAACGATGAAAGAACAACTCGAGGTGGACGACTGCAGCAGGAGCTGCAGGGAAGGCCAGGCCGGTCGGAGAAAGCACCCACACAGGGGCAGACCACGCACTAGGCCCTTGAGGCAGGGTGGGGTTCCGGCTGGTGGAGCAGGTGAGACAGGACATTCCAAAGGAGCCACCGCCGGAGAGGAGAGCCCGGGCGAGGCCCGGAGGCCAGAAGAAGGGCCGGAGAGGGAGGCAGCAGAAAGACAGGGCTGTCCGGAGCAGAGCGGGCATGCCAGGCTGCACGGGGCCTCGAGTGCCAGGCCGAGGCACGGGCGCTTGGGCTCCTGGGCCCTGAGTACCTGGGTAGGGAGTGCAGCCAGCTGAGCTTTCGGAAGCTGAAGACAGCAGTCCTACATAGGTGGGAGGGAGCAGGGAGATTGGGTGGGGGCTGCTGCCGAGATCCAGGTGAGAGAGGCAAGGCTTAGGGGTGGAGAAGGATGGGTGAGTCCCCAGGTCCGAGTGCTATTGGATGGGGGGGCGTGGAATTACTTGCCAGGGCCTGTGTTGAGCTCTTCCTTATTCTCGGGGCTATCTGAAGGCACTTTCCACGCATCAGCTCCTTTCCTCCTCCCTACTACCCAGAGATCTGTGCAGAAGATGATACTGAGGGCTGAGAGGTTGTGAATTTTCTGGAACTCACAGAGCTAGTAAGTGGCCAAGTCAGGGCTGGATCCCAGGTCCACCTGGTTCAGAACAGGAGCTCTTAACCAGGGTGGCTGAACCTCTACCCTGCATGGACCCTTCTGTCCTCACTGGGGTAGAGCTGAGGGACTTCCTGCCCCTCCCCCAGGCTTGGGAGCCAAAATATCACGCTTTGCGGGAGTCCTGCCCATGCCCAGAACTAAGATTCACGTGAGGATGCACTCAGGTCCATTTAGGGCCCAGAATCCTGTTTGCTGATAAACAAGGAGAATTCATAACCCTTGGGCCCCTTTTCTCTCTTCACTCCCAGCTCTGAGTGGTGTGTGTCAAAGATCAGGTTCCTGACATTCCAGGAGTGGGCCAGTTTGAGGGGGCAGGTCTGGGTCTGAGACTTGCTCCGGGGAGCATCACTCAGCGCACATTCTGGAGCCTCATCCATGCAGTTTTGGTGGCTTTGCAGGATTCTAAAAAATGCCTCTTGCCAGCGGGAATTAAAGCTGCAACCAGAGCTGTGCTTAAGTAGGGAGGGTGAACAGACTGGTTACTGGCCCCCCGGCCAGGGATGACCCTTCTGAGCAGATGGGGACAGCACCCCCTTGCCCCCACATTCCATCATTAGTGATTGTTGCTTTTGGCAAGAAGAGGCATGGAGGGTATGGAGACCGTATGTCCAAGAGAAATCTCTGCATCTCCAGCGCTGTCAGGATTGGCCGCCCCCACTCCAGCGAGCCAAGTCCCCACCCCCAGGAGAAAGTCTTCCCTGCTCAGAGCTCTCAGGCCTCCCTTTGCCACATCTCATCCTGGTTCCCCAGACATCCCAGCCAAGGGCTCAGACTGGCCTGGGGCAAGGCCAGGAAGCCAGAGTCCTTCTGGTCATCGTGGTCATTCCCACTGCTGGCTCTTCCACCCTGCAATGTCGTGGTGGCCACGCTGAGATAAGGCTCTCCCACGGGACGGAGTGGGGTAACGGTGGCTTTTCATGGTAGCAGTTTTCTGGGGCAGGGGGTCAGTCCTCTGCCTGAATCAACAACCCTTCCTGGAGGGGAAACCCGTCCCACTTCAATAATTTTATTGCAATGCAGGAAACGAAACAAAGGCAAGTTCACTCTTCTGATTCTCCACTGAGACACCACATTGGGATTTTTTTGTCTACCTGAGTTGTAGCCCTAAAACAAAATGGACAGACTAGAAAATGGCTGGGAGGGCAAGCACGGACCCTGCTGTCCCTCCACCGGGTCAGCCCCTTCTTGAGGCAGCTCCCGGAAGCTTCCCGAGCCCACACGGCTCTCCCAAGAACGGACAAGGAGCAGAAGAAAAGGGTTGTGAACAGCTGCCCCCACATTCCTTGTGACGACCAGGCCAGTCACTTGGCCAGCGTGCTCTGTGGTCTGCCCTGGCTGGGAAGAAGTGCGGAGTTCGGAGTTCGCGCATCAAGTGGTTCTGGAAGTTCCGGAAGCGGGATGGGTTCTCTCTGATCCACCCGCCTCCTGCAGTTGCTGTGAATGTCATTTGGTCCCCTGCTGACATCTGAGCCCCCGTCACTGCCACCCAATGGGGCAAAGAAACAAACATTTCTCGTGTGTTTTAACAGATGTTTATAAAGCAAAATAAATGGCACATATGTTTTCTAAGTCCTTGGATGGGTGTCTTCTTCCTTTCGGGTGTTAGAAACAAGAATGAAAATAGCCAGATAGGTACTCTGGTTACTCTTCCAGTGTATGGGTCTTTTTCGCCTTTCACCAAAGTGGCCGGGCAGTCTCCTACAGCAGGCAAAGAGTGTGCCCACGTCCGATATTGTCGCTTAATCTTCACATCAGCGGGAAAGCAGGTTAGACATTATTATGTCACCCCCACTTCACGGGTAGGGAAACAGGCTCAGCGGAAGTGATTTTCCTTGACAGCTGGAGATAGGAACCTAACTCTGGTCTCTTGATTGTTGAGTCCTCAGTATGTGGAGACAGTGAAAGTGGAAAGGAAGCGGATGATGGAAAGATCTGGAAGAATGGCAGGAGGGTCCAATGGTCTGGCATCTACCCTCATGGTCCAGGATGGAGCCCTATTCCGGGTCCTGGGTCAACCTGCCGGCAATAAGGGACAAGTAGGTATGGGGAAATCTCATCAAAGCAGGTGTTGCTTTGAAAAATAATAAAAGCAAGGGGGACACATGAGAATTTCCAGTCAGGTTCATAGCCACCTTGGTCTCATCCCCTGATAAACTAGGCGCCGAGGACACAGCCACACACTCACTCGGGTTTGTGGAGCTGGTGTGTGAGAGTCGGTTGTTAACTGCTCTTCCCACTGGGCAGTGCCTCACTGACAGCGGTGGTGGGAGCATTTACCCCCGGAGCTGGTACCCTCTACCAGTCAAGGCCTCCCCCAGCAGAAAGTGCTGTGGAACTTTCGCCAGCACCCCAGGGCATTCAGAGATGGGGGGGGGGGCCTAGGTGAGGTGTTGCTCAAGCATGAGGGTGGAGCATAGTGACCCTTTCAGTTCTTCCTCAACAGAGGGGACAGCAGGTCCAGCCCAGGGATTAGTGTAACGTTGGTCTGGTCACTTCCCCCACCCACCCCTGGGAGCTGTGTCTGCAAAATGCAAGCGGTCCCTCCCTGCAAGAGTTGTCAGGATTAGGCGGCACGAGACAAGAGTAACTAACTGTAAGGACTGCCGAGTGTAAGAGGTGCCCGAAGGGGCCGCCATGGGGACTGCGAGCGTGAGCCCTTCTGCCTCTCCCTTTCTAGCGAGAGGCTAACCGTTAAGTTTTCCCACCTCCGGAGCACCCATTGGCTGCCTGCCTTAGCCCCGGGCCACTCCCGCCTCCCCCGTCCCTCCCTCCACTCACCAGTACCAGGAAATGTTTTCTGTGATATTGCAACAGAAGCCTCATCCATGCTGGTGCCAGCGTAGAGGTGGGGCGGGGGGTGGGGTGGAGGAGGCGATTGCGGTCCTAGAGTGTGCTTAATAAGTCCGTATCAAAACCATAAACCCGGCTGCCATAAATTCCTCAGGCCCTGGTTCGGCCACCTCATCAACCCTTTGCCCCAGTTAATCTCAAATCTCAGCACAGGCGGCCAGACCTTCGTTTCCACTGCAGTTGTAAAACATCGGCTCAGGAGAAAAACAGCAAATCCCATTATATTTAGAGGAGATGAAATCAAGGGTCAGAGAAGTGAAGGAACTTCTCGTAGCCGGAGAGCACAGCTGGCTGAGCCAGGACCAGAACCTGCGCTTCTCCTACCAACCCATGTGGCCGCGCTGGGAATCGGGAGTGTGACCCCCCAACACAGACTGCTTCCCCAGCCACAATCCCAGAAGCTTCTTAGCCCGTTATTCTGAATGGAACCCTCTTACTCCAAGAGCGGGGATGAGAGGCGAAAGGGACTCTGGGTAGGCGACAGGCTGAGTGGGGAACCACAGGAAATTCCATGCAGTGCGAATGACCTGTCATTCTGCACCGGTGGCATTGCCATACTTCCTCTTTTGCGGAGCCCAGGTCACCTTTGCTCTACCTTTCCGGAATCGGCGTGTCACGTGTAAATTCCAAGACATGAGCTGAGACACCTGGATCACAGGATCCCACGCAGCTGTTTGATGATGACCAAAGGCTGACTCCTGGGACAACGCAGACTGATCGACCTCTTCCTCATCGTCAAACATTGTGGGACATGATTTAATCCCCACAACAACAATCCCCTGAGTCAGCTGTTCTTGTTGTTATAGTTTATGAACGAGGAAACCAAGGCTCAGCAGGAGGAAGGGACTTGACCAAGGTCCACAGCTGGTGTGACAGCTGAAACCCAAACCCCTGGGGTCCGGCCCTAGGGGCCGCCATGATGGCATGGAGGAGGGCGTCGATGAGCGACTGCTGCGTGCTGGGCGCAGACACAGTGTGTGCTGGGTGCAGACACAGTGTGTGCTGTGGGCCGTTCATCATTTGACCAAGGGCAATGGGCAAAGCAGCTGCATTTTTTAAAGTTTTAATTCTTTAATTCTCACCCCGTAGAGGGGAAGGGAAGGACAGAAACATCGACAGAACCTGTAACCCAGGCATGTGCCCTGGCTGAGAATCAAACCCGTGGCCTTTTGGGTTACAGGACGTTGCTCCAGCCAAGTGAGCCACACTGGCCAGGGTGCAAGCAGCTGAAGCTTAAGAGCCAAAGGAATGAGAGTGACGGCTGTGAAGACGATGGTTTGAGGAAGGGAACGATTACGGCAGTCAGGAAAGAAGAGTGGTGTGTAAATGCAGGACAAGGTTTCAGGGGCAGCAGGACGGTGGATAAAGGACAGAGCTGGCGGCTGAGGAGAGAGGGTGGGCGGCAGGCTGGGCTGGCAGCAGGGGGCACGGCCTGTGGGGGGTAGGGGGGCCGGAGCGGGTTCCAACCTTCGGTCACTGCACACGCCACCTTGACCCTCTCTACGCCCAAGGACCACTGTCCTTTCTCCTACTCACTATCTTTCTTTAAATCA